GGTGGTGGTGATGGTGGTGGCGGTGGGGGTGACTGCGGCAGCAACGGCGGAGGTGGTGATGGTGGTGGTGATGGTGGTGGCGGTGGGGGTGACTGCGGCAGCAACGGCGGAGGTGGTGATGGTGGTGGTGATGGTGGTGGCGGTGGGGGTGACTGCGGCAGCAACGGCGGAGGTGGTGGAAGTGGCGACATATTTTTCCATGTTATGTGAAATTGTCCAAGTACCAAAAAGTGTTGTACATGTGTTTATGTTGCTGACGTCACCGGAACGTCAGCAATTCCTGGAATTATTAACCCTCTCACTCCGACCTATGTGGGGAATTGCGTTTCCTCACCCACGCGTTTTTGTTATTTCCTGAAGTCAAGTCATCGGTTCTTCACTGTCACGCATGTATATAATTATACGATACATACAGTTCAATTAAATCCTTCCCGCGCCTTCGTATGCATAGCGTATAGCTACAGGCGCATAAGGCTGTGCAGCCCGTGCTTAATCTTATCAAATTTTGCACAAGGGAGAGATAGTGATCCGCTAGAGGGCGCGTTAAATGCTAACAAAAACGGCTCTGATTGGCTAATTTTGTCTTTTATTTATTTTATTGTTTATTATTTTTGGATAATTTTGTTTTATTTTAGAATTAGGGATAGGGTTAGGGTTAGAGTTAGGGTTAGGGTCAGGATTAGGGTTAGGGTTAGGGTTAGGATTAGGGTTAACTGATTTCTATATCCACAACATATTTCTATATTCACTATCTCTCCCCTGAGACCTACTAAATTTTATCTCCGTTTCTGTAACCCTGAGGCAGCTGCTTTCCCAGTAAATGCTACAGTAGGGGGTTAGTCCACTGGTAGCACTGCGAGTTAACTTGTCACACTCTTAGTCTATCTCTGTTTGCTGAATGCTAAGCAGAGAAGCCGTATGTACCATTTGTGTAAACTTACGTCAGAACTAGCATGGAGCAACAACAATGATGAAAATAAAACACGTTTATTTTAATTATACAAATGCCTTTTCACCAACTGAGCACTTTTTCTCCTGCTCACTTATAGAATTGCGCTCTTTGTTTCTTCCCAAAATGTTTTTTTGTTTCTGTTCAGTTGCATGAAATATTTAACTACAACTGTGTTAATTACATAATGTTTATATTTTAAGGCACGATTTGGTCGTTGTACGGGTATTAGTCTGCTAGTATATATAGTTTGCATATGTGTTTGTCCGTGCGTGCGCGCGCGCGTGTGTGTGTGTGTGTGTGTGTGTGTGTGTGTGTGTGTGTGTGTGTGTGTGTGTGTGTGCGTGTGCTGTGTGCTGTCATGTGTATCGCTGTATCGTGTGTACTCCGTCGACGCCGCTACTCGTTTGTTTATTGTATGTGTGTGTGAATGTGTGAGCTGTGTGCTGTGGGGGGGGGGGCGTGCGTGCGTCGTAAGTATATATATATACTATATATATATATATATATATATTATATATATATATATATATATCCTATATAGCATATACATATATAACCTGTGTATAATACGCGCATGACGTCACCGTTCTAGGACCACGTGCCGCAGCCGGAGTGCGCCATATTTGGCTTCATGCTTGCCGAGTTCATCACAGCGCAGAAACCTTGCATGGTGAACGTGATCGCTTTCAACTGCTTCATCCTCATCGTGTTTGGCAAGAAGCTGAGATTCGGACCGTACGACATGTGGCTTCTCCTGTGGACGTTCGGCGCACCATTTCTCGGTTCGGTCATCAACGTCTCTCTCGGGTATCTCGGACCGAACGGCGTCTTGTAAGTTTTTTTGGAGAAGACGGTTTGTTGGAGTTTCGTTGGGAGCGCCTCGTTCGTCGTCGTCGTTGTCGTCGTCGTCGTCGTCGTCGTCGTTGTTGTTGTCAACGTCGTCGTCGTCATCGTCGTCGTCGTCGTCGTCGTCGTCGTTGTCGTCGTTCGGTCATCGTCGTCGTCGTCATTTTGATTATCATCAGTAGTATCATCATCCTCTTCTTCATCATCAGCATTATCATAATCAACATTAGCATCATTTACATTATGATCATCATCATTATCTTCCTCGTCGTTGTCATCATCATCATTATCAGCAGCAGCAGCAGCAGCAGCAGCAGCATCGTCAGCATCATCTCCACCATCAGCAGAAGCAGCAGCAGCATCCTCATCATCACCACCATCATCATCAGTATCCTCATCACCATCATACACGAGATCACTATCATCGTCATCATCGGCGTCGTTGTCGTCGCATTGTCGTCATCGTCGTCTTTGTCTTCTTCGTCATCATCGTTGTAGTCATCGTCATCATCAATCTTCGATAAGATAATAGCTCTTCTCTCATCTCGTTCCTCATCCTTTCTGTTTACATGTAGCCTCTATGGAGTCATAGTGGTATGTGTTTAGCGCTATAGTAACTGCGCCCGTATGTTTTCTTTTGTAGTGACAGGGCCCTGCGTGCTTTTACAGTGACCTGTGTGATTTACTCAGTAGTAACTGTTGTCTGTGTGCTTCTCTCTGTAGCTGTTACTTTGACGTAAAACTTGGAGCGCTGGCTGAAGGGCTGTGGTAACACGTCCTGTGTTTTTTACTCAGTAGTAACAGTCCTGTATGTTTCCTCTATAGTAACAGTCCTCTATGTTTCCTCTATAGTAACAGTCCTGTATGTTTTGCCTCTATAGTAATGCAGTCCTGTATGTTTTCCTGCTAATAGTAACAGTCCTCTATGTTTCCCTTCATAGTAAACAGTCCTCTATGTTTCCCTCTATAGTTAAGCAGTCCTCTATGTTTCCCTCTATACGTACCAGTCCTCTATGTTTTCTCCTCTATATACGTCGTCTATGTTTCCCTCTCATAGTAACAGTCCTCTATCGTTTTTTCCTCTATAGTAAGCAGTCCTGGCTATGTTCCCTCTATTAGTACAGTTCCTCTATGCTTTCCCTCTATAGTAACAGTCCTGTATGTCTTCCCTATAGTAACAGTCCTTATGTTTTTCTCTATAGTAACAGTCCTGTATGTTTGCCCTTCTATAGTAACAGTCTGTATGTTTCCGCTCTATAGTAACAGTCCTGTATGTTTCCCCTCTATAGTAACAGTGCCCTGTATGTTTCGACTCTATAGTAACAGTCGCTGTATGTTTCCTCTATAGTAACAGTCCTCTATGCTTTCTCTATAGTAACAGTCCTGTATGCTTCTCCTTCTATAGTAACAGTCCTGTAATGTTTGCCGCTCTAATAGTACAGTCCTGTGTGTTTCCGCTCTCATAGTAACAGTTTGTTGTCCCTCTATAGTAACGATCTCTATGTTTTCCTCTATAGTAAGCAGTCCTCGTATGTTTCCGCTCTATAGTAATCAGTCCCTGTATGTTTTCCCGTCTATAAGTAACAGTCCTGTATGTTTTCCGCTTATAGTAACAGTCTGTATGTTTCCTCTATAGTTAAGCTAAGTCCTGTATGTTTTCCTCTATAGTAACAGTCCTGTATGTTTGCTCTATAGTAACAGTCCCTGTATGTTTCGCCTCTATAGTAACAGTCCTGTATTTCCTCTATAGTAACAGTCTGTATTTTTCCTCTATAGTAATAGTCCGCTGTTCATGTTTTCCTCTATGAGTACATCCTGTATGTTTTCGCGCTCTATATAACTAGTCCTGCTAATGTTTTCCTCTATAGTATCATCGGCTGTAGTGCTTTCCTCTAATCAGTAACAGTTCTCTATGTTCGCTCTATAGTAACAGTCCTGTATGTTTTTCCTCTATAGTAACAGTCCTCTAATGTTTCCCTCTATAGTAACAGTCCTCTATGTTTTCCTCTATAGTAACAGTTCTATGTTTCCCTCTATAGTAACAGTCCTGCTATGTTTCAACTCTATATGTCAAGTCCTCCTATTTTCTTCTATAGTAAACAGTCCTGTATGTTTCCCTCTATAGTAGGATCCTGTATGTCCTCTATAGTAACAGTTCCCTGTATGTTGTCCTCTATAGTAACAGTCCTCTATGTTTTCCCTCTATAGTAACAGTCCTCTATGTTTTCTTAGTAAAGTCGCTGTAATGTTTCCTCATAGTGGCAGTCCTGTATGTTTCCTCTATAGTACAGTCGCTCTATGCTTTCCTCTATAGTAATACAGATCCTTCGTATGCTCCTTTACCCGCTGCTATAGTACAGTCCTCGTGTGCTCCTATTCTCCCTATCAGTAATAGTCCCTCCTAATGTTTCTCCCCCTTTTAGTAAAGCTCCTGTATGCTTTCCCGTTACTACGTAACAGTCCTGTAGATTGGTCCCTCTACTAGTAAACAGTCCTGTATGTTTTCCGCCTCCTAGGTAGTAAAAGTCCTGTATGTTTCACCACTCTCAATATCAACAGTCCTTTGTTTCTCTAGTCAGGTAATAGTCCCTGTATCGTTTCCCCTGCTATAATAACAGTTCTGTGTGGTTTATCTCGCGTAGCTGCGTTACTTGTGACGTGAAGCTTGCGAGCGCTGGCCGGTCATTTCCTACAACACCGTGCCCCTGCTTCGGTTGCTCGCCTCTCAGCACACTGCTCTAAACATCGCGACCACGTGGAAGCACCATTACGTAACCAGGCGCTACGCAGATTCAAGGTGAAGACTTAATAATCCCGTAACCCATAGCACACCCAGGCGATCAACAGGTGAATACAGAACTCCCCGTGACCGATAGCAACCATGCCGCCTGCAATTAAGGTCGAGAAACAATGCCCGTGACCATCAGCAACCAGGCGCCTGCCCAGATCAGGTGAAGATAATAATCCCCGGTAACACATAGCAAACCAGGGGCTCAACGTGAGATAACAAATCCCCGGTGACCATACAACCAAGCCGCTGCAGATCAAGAGTCGAAGATAACATCTACCCGTGAAACCATAGGCAACCAGGCGCTGCCTCAAGGGAGATACACCATCTCCGTGCACCATGGCAACCAGGCACTGCAAATAAGTTCAGCTAACCATGACCCTTTACCTTGACTGACCTTCTCTCTCTAAAGCTACTCGTCC